ACAATCGGGCAGAGATGACCGACTACAATTCTCCATTTTACTCTACAATAGGCCTTTAGTTTCTAGTTCTGAGGCTGAACTATTTTTAACACCGCCTCTCCTTGTCGGACACAAACTGCATCGCTGTTCTACTGCTTGTCTGAATGTAAAGAAATATAATTACTTATTTAATTTTGAAGGTAAATATCATTTGGGCATAGGTGACCGACCAGAATTCTCCAATGCCCTCTGTCCTGGGCTTTTCCATCTTGCTCTAAGGTGAAACTATCATAAAATATTCACAACTTTTGAGAAGACAGAATCACTGTTCTACTGATTGTCTGAAGGTTAAGAATCAGTGTTACTTCCTTACTTATTTCCCTACATATCCCGGTTAATGTAAGTGCAGAATAGGTCACAGACCGGAATTCCTCGATCCATACTATCCCAGAACTTTATTTCCAGTTGTAACGTGCAACTTCGCCTCTCTTCGTGGGAAGGCAATATCGAGTCCCTCCCAGTTTTCTAAAGATAATGAGATAATATTACTCAGTTACTTATTTACTTATTTACTTCATTACTCATAACTTACTTACTTTTGCCTGCTGCTGTTAATGAAGCATTTCTCTATCCACTCACACCTAGACATTTCTTCCTATTTCTAAAGTGGAACTTTTGTAACCCTGGCTCTCCTTATTGGAAGGCAGCTTCGCTGTTCTTTTCATTTGTTTCTTCTCATGTTCTACAATTATAAATCCAAATTATTATTCCGTATAATTGGCCAAGTTTAAATGCAAAGTAGATCATTTAAATTTGTCCATATGAATCAAGAATTGTTGTTTGTCACATAAAATTCAATAAAATCGGTAACTTTTAAAGGCTGACTAATATGATGTGTTGACTTGATTCAGTTTATAAGCGAAATGATGAAATTGTAGGATAATCGATCAGAATAAATATGGTCAACATGAACTGTAAGAAAGAAAATAATGGAATAAAAATCAGTAATTAACTAATATGTAGAATAGAATAAATTAGGTTAGATATAGTAAATTTAGGGGTGAATACTGAATAAATTTCTCAAAAAGTTATCAAGTGTAATAATAATAATAATAAAGATGATAATTATAATAATAATTTTAGGAGATAAAATGAACATGAATCAAATTACGTCATCACATTATAATATTGAATAATAACTAGAGCAGTAGAAGTGGCTGAACATAAATTATTTTGGATGCAAAGCTTTGACTTATTGACCCTAATTGCTTCAGACGTCTGTAGGATTTTCAGTCTGACGTAATTAGGTAGACTGATGTTAACACGATATATTATTGCGAAAGATTTCTCCATGTTGGTTGTATGTTTCATCTGAACTAAATGGTTTAAAATCGAGCTGTTAACTGTTTTGACAACACCTTTGCTTAACCACGCGAAGAGGTTCTCACGAGCCCGAAATTACAAAGTCATAGAACATCTGCCGATAGAACTTGCTCCACAAGAGCAGAAGAATTGATAGATACAGAAAAAGGTGGCTAGTCTAAGCAATTTATCTTTCAACCTGAGAGTGATTATTGGACGTGTGGGAAACATTAGTTGTAGTTTACCTGCATTAAATGTCCTTTGAATTGATCTGCTTATCTTCAGTCTTAGCATTTGACTCGGTGCATCGCCGATGAATTGTAAGCGTATATACAGAGGCATTTTATTTATAGTTGGACATTCTCTATGCTGTCTTTTATTGTCTATGTTTTTATTTATAAATCTCTAGGGCTATCCATTTTCTCTCAGGGTTGTGCATAATGCCTTTGTTTCATCTTCAATCGTATCCACAGAGCATATAGTCTTGATTCTATGATGAATTGTCTTAATAAAGTTCCTTTTCCATTGCAGAGCAACGAAACTAATAATTATTACTATAGATGGATGAATGCTTTTTCCTCTTCTCTTTTTTTGTTGTTTTTGTTTTACTTCTCGTTGTGGATAGTTAGTTATTTATACTACATGTAAATATATGTTTTCATGAAGATATTAGTAAAGTGAAATGGTGAAGAGATAATATCATTTACTTACTTATCCGTGTTATTCTCAATGGAGCATAAGTCGCCGACCAGAATTCTCTAATCCACTCTATCCTAGGCCTTTCTTTCTAGTTCTATTCAATTTTTGTTCATTCTTTTAATGTCTGTCTCCATTTCTTGGTGTAATGTGTTTTTTGATCTTCCTCTTATCCGTTGAGCTTCAGTATTTCAAGTAAGGGCTTGCTTTGTGACACATTTGAGTGCCTCCATCAATGTGTGTTCTATCAACTTCCAGCGCTTCTTACTGATTTCTTACTCCGCTGGAATCTGGTTTGTTCTCTCACACATTAGGTTGCTGCTAATGGTGTCTGTCCAACGGATCCGCAGTATTTTGCGTAGAAAACTGTAAATAAACACTTGTATCTTCTGGATGATGACTTTTGTTTCAGTCAAGTAAAGTGGTTTATTAAAATATACTACTTTGTCTGTACCACTAATAATAACCATCTGGAAGATTTTGCATTGTCTAATCACATGAATAATAATTCATAAGAATTCTCACTTTCAAAATGGAACAATATAATGACATATGAGTGGTTACAAATAGTTTTCACTATTCTGATTCATATCACATAAGGTGATATACTTAAAATTCATAAATAAAATAACGTATTACAATTAATAAACTTCATAGGCACATATTTAATTGACTGTTATATTTCATCAATGTACGATATAAAAATGAATAATGATTCAAAAGCATATAGAGAATTGAAATTAAAAAATAATAAGAAGATATATGTCTGGAAAGTACTCTTTGCAAATACGCAAACTAATGTGCATGGATGCTGAATGAT